TTATCGACAACTTGATGTTAATCGGTGATAACTTAATACTAAATAATAGATAAATTAGTAATAACATAATAATAATTATTAATACATTAGTTGTAAATAAGTGATAATTTAGTAATGAATTAGTTAATCATTGATAATTTTTATTAAATCATCAATAAATTAATAATAAATCATCATAAGTCTCTGGCATGTACATCTTTTGTTCTCTTTATCATTGTTTTTATTAAATAAGTTCATGATATGTTTATTATCCTAACACTCAAGATGAAAGTTCAACTAGTAACCATAGTTGAATCCCTGGTATTTTAAGGGCTTATAAATACTTACTTCTGATGCAAAAGTATTGACAAATCTATATACATGTATCCTATTAATATAGCACATTTTAAGACTTATAAATACTTGCTGACTGTAGTGAGCATATAAGTTCATACATTTGAATCATATTGGTATAATGTATTATGGTATTTATAAATGTTCATTTTGTTATATGATGATTCAAGTATTTATTGGTATTTGACAATTCTAGTCACAATCATTTTGTTAATCCAAATTTGGATTTTAAATGTACAACTTTGTATATATAAGTTATGCTATATTTTCAAACTATTCAAATTTGGCTTGTATTCTGAGAGATTGTTGCATTTATCATATATCATAGAGAAATAAAGTCAATTAATTAAGAAGTTAATTAACGTTAAATTATAAATAATTATAGTGGTGTTATATTAATTAAATGTGATATGTTGTTATTCTTGTATAGATCCCATAATGGGATGGGACATTGCAAGTAAATGATAGGGTCTCTACACTCTTCCTCTCCAAGTATGTAATACTACTACATTGAGCATTACAACTTTAGTTTGTGAGGGAAGAGTGTAGTTTCTCTCTCAAATAGTGCAGCCTCCTCTCCACGCATGGCCAGCAGAACCGGACCAGCTTCAACCACCACCAATGACAGCTTTGGCGAGGCTCCATTATCGGTAATAACTCCAACAATTTGGGTTCAATGGGTTTCAGCTTTAATCCATTTAGAGTTTAGCATTTAATTTTAGTTTTAAGCGTAAATCAGTGACTTCGTGAGCTTGAATTAGTTCTAACAGTTCCAATACGGAGAATTAGGCACCCAAAGGAAAAACAATAGGAAGTCTTAAATATGGAGCGTTCTTGTTGTTCCTTGTGTTTTCATACTCCATTTCCATTGCTCATTTTGCTTTCCTTGTATATCTGACAGCTTTTACTGCAGTTTATATTATGTGGACCAGTAGATATAGGAAGAATATCTCTTCACTGCTGTTCTAGGCAGGCAGCCTGAAAGAAATATTTCTACTGTTCTGGTAGAAATAATAGGTTTATTTTGTAATATCATAATTTTTTTTCAAATAAAGATTTGTGTTTAATCGTTATAACATCTATGAAAATTACGCTTAAAAAAATTATCTAGTGAAACCTGCAACATGTATTGCCATATAGATTTTCCTGCACGGTTAGCTATGTTTCAAGTCAAGCCGCCGGTGTCCTACTCCTACATCGTCTTGACCACACTCTCCAAGTTATGGGCCCAGAACATCAAATTCTTGCCCAACCTAAGTTTGCTTTTCCATTAGATTGTAAATTTGTAATCTCTACTACTCTTTGATTGCTCTTAAATTTTCTTTATCCTTTTGCTCACTAATTATTTATTCTTTAAATATTCTTTTAATGTAATTATTTTTCAAGAAAATTATAGCAATTTTATAGAGCTATAGATATTGTGGAACTACAAATTATGTAAGATGTTCTTCATTTTTTTTTTTTAAATTTAATACCCAAAATTCGAATGCTGGAATTATCACATCCTAAGAAAATTCACTGCTAATAATACTTTTGGGTAAGACTCAGTAAAGGGATGATTAGTAAAGGGATGATTAGTCTGCCAATTGCTTTCGTAAATTTTTGTCAAATCTCAACCTTAAGTAAGTGGTCTCTTTAATAAGTATGCCAAAATTTTCTAACTCAAATCCGAAGACCATCTCTTTCATCCTACCCATTTTTTACTATTTTACTTCTTTATTAAGGACAAAAACAAACAAAATCAAAGTGCTTGTAATTTGTGCTACTAGTCTTTATTTACCACGCTAATTAAGTTCTTACATAAATTTATCTCCCACAATGTCTCTTTCTTGTAATTAATCCCAAATATTCCCTTATAATAAATTTGATTTCAATTTAATTTTTGCAATTATAATCAAAATTTTGTCATAATTCCGATAGAATCAAGTTCATATGGGATCATAACTCTATGTTTCATTTATTATCATGTGTCACAATAAGATATTGTAATTACGAATAGATACTTCAATTTTAACAATCTAAATAAAAAAAAATTATATATAATAAAACATAAATTATCATAAAAAATGATAGTAAAATTTTTAGATTTTATAAACAAAATTAATAGAATGATATATATATTTAAAATATAATAAAAAATAAATAAAATAATTACAAAATTAAGATATTTGACATCATCCTCTTAATATCAATTGTAAGGTTAAAATTTTTTTATTTGATAATAAAAATGATGAAATCCAAATAATAATTTACTCCATAATTTTATCATGTTTATAATAATCTCTTGTTTTGATGTCAATGCATCAAAAGAAGGTAAAGCTTGCTTGTTTAAGAATGAGAGAGTTAGAGAGCATTTGGTTTGGAAAATCTATACATTTTTTTTTTTTGTTTCAGAATTTTACTGTTAGGCATTTGATTCTCATGTTTGGTTTAAGGTAATTTAATTTTTTTTAAAAAATTGATAGATTTTTAATAGTATCTAAAGTTTTAGAATAAAAAACTCATATTTTTTTATGATATTCTAGAATTTCGAAAGAGAAAGTAGTGTTATTTTCAAATTTGATCTGAATAAAAATTGTGAAATAGTTGTTATCGTTTTGATTTTTTTAAAAAAATTATTTAAGACGTTTTTCGATAAAAAATACTTTAAACAATACATTTTGATTTTTTTAATAAGATTATTTAATCCCATATTTAAAGTATTTTTGGTTAAAAAATATCTTAAACAATTTTTTTAAAAATATATCAGTAAATTTTTTATGGTATTTTTAAACAAAAAATGCTGTAAATAATGTTTAAAAACACCATAAATAATACACTTTAATTTTTTTATTTGACTTATTTAAGGTGTTTTTGGACAAAAACGCCTTAAATAATTCCTTTTAAAATGTATCAATGAATTTTTTAAAGCATTTTTTATCAAAAATATCTTAAATGATTCATTTTATTACTTATAAGATTTAAGAGATAAAATATAAAAACATTGGAATAGTTCAGTTTGTTAAAACTTATAGTTGTTAACCATTAAATAATCCTTTCATTTAAATATCCATTGGAAAAAGCTTAAAACGCTAAAAAAAGGGACTAAATATATAACCTTTTGATTAATAATTATATGTTCTAACCGATTAAGCTACTTTAATTTTTTTTATTTTATCTCTTAAATTTTATAAGTAATGAAAAAAATTATTTAAGATTTTTTTTGTTCAAAAACACCTTAAATAAGCTCTTTCAAAATTGAAAAGCATTATTTAAGGTGTTTTTATCAAAAAATATCCTAAATAACCAAAAATGCCTCAAATAACAAAAAAATGCAGCAAATAATCTTTTTTTATTTTTTTGAATAGCATTATTTAAGGTATTTTAAGACTAAAAATACCTTAAAAAATCTACTGATATATTTTAAAGGAGATTATTTAAAGTGTTTTTGTTTTAAAATGACTTAAATAAACCAAATAAAAAAATTGAAATGTATTATTTAAGGTATTTTTTGTTTAAAAATACTTTAAAAAATTTGTTGATATATTTTAAAAAGGATTATTTAATACATTTTTTAACTAAAAAGTTATGTCATGTATTTGCTTTTTTTTTTAAATTTTTTAAATTATTTTTATATATTTAATAAAGATTTTAAAGATTTTAATTTTTTGTGTGACTTTCTTGATTTCTAAAATATATCACATCTCAAGTCATTTATTTATTTGTTTATTTATTTATTTATTTTTTAATATTTGATAAATATTTTTTAATATTATAAAATTTTGTAATGATCTCTATTTTATATTACTGATTAAAAAATATTTTTATTATCTATATTTCATTATTTAATTAATTTTATATTTATATATGTGTATTTTATTAATTAAATTATTATTTTATAACTTACTTTAAAATATCAACATTTTTAACTTGATTTGAATTTTTATAAAGCAGTTCGCTGATCTTTATTTTCTCTTTTCTTTTTTTTGCTAAATTTTTTAATTTTTAATTAAATGAGTAAATTTTTAATACCTTAATTTAATATATTAACATTTTAAGCTAAAATGAAATGTCATGTTTTAACCTAATAAATTCTATTTTCTTTTCTTTGTTTTCATTTTTCATTTTTTTATTTTTTTCTTTTGTTTTTATGATTTTTCAAGTTAAATTAATTTTACAATAAAAATGAGGATACTATAAATGTCTAAGTGACATTTTTAATTTTTAATTAAATAAATTTTAAAATAAAAAATGTCAATCGATAAAGATATTAAATAATTCTAATTCAATGAATTTTTATTTATCACAATCTAATAAGTAATAATTTTTTTAATCATAAATAGAGTTGAAACGAAATTTAATTTTTTTTAGAAAGAAACAAGATCATGAATGCCTGTTTAGGATTTTTTTCTCAATCATTTTTATGAATATATAAAAGCGTATATATATATATATATATATATTTTAGAATGAGGATATCCATCAACACCATTTATAAACTTTTTTTTTGTATTTTTTAATTAAATAAATTTTGTAAAATAAATAAAATCAATTAAAATATTCACATATTCTCTATTTGTTTTTTTATCTTTCATTTTTTATTTTTTTAATTATGTAATTTTTCAATAAATATAAAATTTCCAAAAAGAAAGACAAAAAAAAAAATTCTATTCTAACCTAATATTTTCGTAGTTGAAAAATCTCTACTCCAAATGTCAAAAACTCCTCAGTCTTCTCCTTCCCTTCTTTTTCCTTCTTTACCCCTTACCAAGCACAATTTCTCTCCCTCTCTCCCCCTCATTCTCTGCAATTTCCTCCAAAATTCAGAGAGAAAAGAAAAAAAAAAAGCATAATTTTGTTGTGTCAGACAAATAGACAGAAAGAAAGATAGCCAAGAATTTTCTGGAATCTTTGATCGAACCTTTTTTTATTCCTTTTTCCCTTTTAGCATTTTAGTTCAGAGAAGAGTCTTTTTGAAGTTTATTGTTTGTTTTCGTTTTGTTTTTGTGCTCCTTGACTTGATCAACGACCAATAGGTGTGTGATTCTGGATGCCCGTTTTAGACCGCATTGATGGCTCAACGGTTCGTCAAAGTGGAAGATTGATGACGATTTTGGGGATTTAGCTATTTAAATCGAAAGTGGAAAAAAAATTGATGGAGCGATTCATCTCAGTTTGTTTATGGTTGATTTTGGTGTTGTATTTGGTTTTCAGATCTGCGGGAAATGCTGAAGGTTCGTTTTTTTTTTACTGGGAAAAGAGTGAATGAAATGATTGAGGTTATATAATCATATTATTAAAAAAATTAATTATTTATTGTATTAACTAAATAGTAAATATTTATTTTAATTAATTAATTAATTAATTTATAATAAATAATTAATTTTTTAATAATACGATGATGTGATATAATTTAAATGAAAATATATATATTGAAATCATGAAATTATTTTATATAATTTTTTTTCTTTTTTTTTAGTTTTTTATTTTTGCATTTTGATTTTTTTATGAGATTCAAATTAGAAGAAATTAGTAGCAATTTTGGATTGGTTTAGAAGTGGCATAAGGCTTGACTGCTTGTTTTAAATTTCAATTAGCCTCAGTGCACTAAGTGACTTGACTGAAGGGATAGTTGCACGCTTCGTAATGATTAATTTCTGCAAAAATTTTGGATATGAACGTTCTAATTCTCCATACTTAGTTAGGTGAAATTAGCCAATGCTTTTTCTTCATCAATGTCCGACGTCTGGATAGTATTATGTTTATTGTGATGGACCTTTCAACTTAAGCTGGAGTTTTGGCCCATCCCCTACAGTTTAAATGGTTTCATAATATGATTTGATCTCCATCGGAGTTCTCGGTTTATGTAATGAAACAGTTGATGCTTTAAATGCTTTGAAGACCAATTTGATTGACCCAAATAATGTGTTGCGAAGTTGGGACTCAACCCTTGTTAATCCTTGCACATGGTTTTATGTCACATGTAATAGTGAAAAAAGTGTAACAAGAGTGTAAGTTTTCTTATGATGTACCTTTTTGCTACTGCAGTTGATGTTACTTTCGAGTTTCTAGTTTGGCTTAATAAATGCTTTTCCTTCGTCAATCTAGTGATCTTGGGAATGCGAATCTTTCTGGTCAATTGGTTCCACAGATCGGGCAGCTTATGAATTTGCAGTATCTGTAAGTGGATAGCTTTGGCCCTGGTGATTACATGCTGCCTTACATTGTTAGAATTATTTTAAGCAGCAAAAGATAAATAAATAAACAAAGGAAAAACAGAACACCAGCATGCTTTGCCAAATAATTAATGACTTTTTTTATTGTTTAGGGCTTCCTTTAGATTCTTTTCCAAGATTTGGTTGTAGTAGATAAGTTTCATTGGGAATCATTTTTCTTAAATTTGTAACTGTGTAAAATCAAATAATCATAACTTGCTAGAAAAATACCTGAGTTTAAACTCATGGTGAAATTCTGGCACTCAACCTTAGAAAAAGTAAAAATATTTGAGAGCTCAGATTTTGTGTGCTTTTTTCGCTATGCACTGGTTTTTATTGGTTATGCTTAATCATGAAGATGGTTGCATTCCATTGGATTTGGTTGCACATTTCATACAAAGATACTTGAATTACGTGCTTCTATTGAACTACCTTTGTGACTTTGTCCAAGAATCACTAAGTCAATTTTTTATGACAGGGGGCTTTATCGCAATAACATATCTGGAATAATCCCAGAGGAGCTTGGAAATTTGATAAACTTGGTGAGCTTGGATCTTTCCTTGAATGCTTTAACCGGGAACATTCCAACTTCTCTGGGCAAGCTTCCAAAACTACGTATCCTGTACGAACACATTTTACATTTTCATGTGGTTAATTTATCTAATTTCTTTGTTCTCTTGCTTTCTAGTCATGTGTTTTAGTACATGTAGACAGCTTTTACGTGTTGATATATTGCTTGCTGAATTGTGTAGACGTTCAATTTGATCCAAGTTTGGATTAATTGAACTTAGTTTAAATGGGTAAGATGAGCCCATTTTCATTATTATTATTATTATTATTATTATTATTATTATTATTATTTTTGATTTATTTGTTCTTAATTTTGTTTTAATTATTATTGCTTTTTATATATGATTTTTGTTCTAGAAGAAACTTTTTTACAATGAATTTGGGAGTTAGTAGAGTTTGGATTGGATTCAAAGATTAAATTTCAATCTCAGATGAAATTAGGATTGATCAAAAACTCTTTTGATTAATCCTTATAAATAAATGTTGGAACATACAAAAAATACATTGAAAACACACAGAGAGAAAAGAAACGCAAAAAAGGTGTTTAGAAGGTTCAGAAGTGATTTTAAGATTTTTTTAGGAATTTTTAATGAATTTTTTTTTGAAATTTTTTTGAAATTTTTAGATTTCAGTCAACTTTTTCGATGAATTTTGAAGTTTCTGGCGTGTTTTTTCATATTTTGGTTCTTTTTTTTCAAAATCCGATGAAAACTCAACCAGATTCTAGGTTCTATTAGAGAGAGAAGGAGAAAAAAAAAAGAAGAGAGAGAAAGGAGGAATGGAGGTGTCCGAGGGAAAAATCGGATTGTAGCATTTTATACTTGTGTAAAATGACGTCATTTTGGCGTTAAAAAGATCCAGGATCCGCGCATTTTTCATTTGGGCAACCCGACACGATCGCAACCCACGTCTGACTCAAGTGCCAGCCGACCCTTGAAGTCGAGTAGAGCCGAGTCGCGCATTCTCAAGCGACATTTTTTAGCCATTTTTTTTCTTGGAGCCGAGCCGAATCCCGGTCGCGTTAAGGTTTTATTTATTTATTTATTATTATTATTTCTAAATAAGAATTATTTGGTATTTCTTATTTTTTTTAAATTTAAATTTTTTTTATTTTTCTTTTTAATGATTTTTCTAAAATAAAATTTTCAAAAAAAATATTTTTGAGAAAAAATTGAAAGTATCAATTTTTCTTGAAAATAAAATAAAAAAATATTTTTGAAGGAAAGTTGAATGTATCAATTTCTTTTGAACATCAAAATAAAAAATAGGCTTTTGGAAAAAAGTTGAAAGTATCAATTTTCTTTAAAAATAAAGTTTTTAAAATAAAAATTTTCAAAAAATATTTTTGAAAAAACTTAAAAGTATCAATTTTTTTTAAAAATAAAATTTATAAAATAAAAATTATCAAGAAAAATATTTTAAGGAAAAGTTGAAAGTATTAATTTTTTTTGAAATTAAAATTTCAAAAAAAAATATTTTACGAAAAAGTTGAAACTATCAATTTTCTTTAAAATAAAAAATTTTCAAATGCTTTAAAAAAAAGTTGAAAGTATCAATATTTCTTGTACACAAACAATGAGTTTTTAAATGAAAAGAAAAGGATTTATATCAAAAGCTGAATCATTATTTCTTTCTTTTTATTTTATTTTATTTTTTTTTCTTGAAATTTTTTTAATGTTAAATAATTTGACGATGGAGTTTGTGCAAGTGAAACAATAGTTTTTTTTTTGAATACTTTTGAAGGAAGGAGATTTTTCTTAATTTTTTATCAAAAATATTGGAGTTAATTAAGAATAATTTTTAATAGTTAATTACTTGATAAAATTTTTAAGGCTTATCGGATAACACGAAATCAAGTTCGTACCATCATTCGATGGGCGTTGTGAGGGTGCTATAACTTTTTTCACAGGTAATTGTACTCTCGAATCATATTCTGGTTAATAGATCCGAACATATTTTTTTAGAGACCCTTAAGCTTAGAGGTTCTTTAAAAGGATAAATTTCTTAGATGAGTAATTGCACATAAATAAAAAAGATTGATGACGATTCTTTAAGTCAATGTCTAGCGATAGATCTTCAGATCTATTTGTTATGAAGTTTGACGACTCTACTGGGGACATCCGAGAGTCAGGCAGCAAATAAATTCGTGTTATCTAAAAGCTTAATAAAATTAAACCTTTTGTATAGATTTTTTATTCATTCATATTTATTTACTTTGTTAATTCTGTCATTCATAAGCATGTGCATAACATTAACTCTATACTCGAGCTTCGTCCTTTTAGGAGAGAGTAAAGTGCCTATTACTTTCGTGAGGTTTTAATGCCTCCGCAGTGACTAACGAAATACTCTTACTCAAATTGAATATTTTTCACTTGTAGCCTATAATGGGTAAGGATTGGGGTGCCTTACTAGTCTGTAATGGATAATAATGTCAGGAGCAATTTGGAAACCTTTAGATTTTAACATCGAATCACATATAGTGAAACCTATAAGTGCCAACCTATATATAGAGCCATCTCCTTCCCTTTAGAATTGATCAAAAGCATATGATTCATACATCTTATTGTGTGTGACGTTTTAATTTATTTAGTTATTTATTTATTTATTTTTCTTTATTTGATGTACTAACCTCTTCTCTTATTTATGTTTGCATGATCTATATTTATATCATAAAGTTGCATAAAGAACATTGGCTTGAAAGATGGTCTTCAACAACGAGTTTTTCATGGACTCCACAGAACGACTAGTTTGTTCTCGTCTGTATTAGCTCCTTGTGAGTCACCCAACGAAGTCAAGGTCCAGCAAAAAAAGATTCAACTAAAGATGAGGGATTGTTTATCAATCGGTTATACTTTTACCTTGTCTTAAGAGACATCTATCCTCCTCAAACAAAACAATCTAAAAGATTTGATAGATATATGGAAGAAGATGAGTGCATCAAGACAAGAGGAGTTTTGTTAGAGACATATGCATATACCACACCTTCTTGCAGTAAATGTCGACAATCAACTAATTAGAGTTGTAGCGCAATTCTGAGATCCTACATACAAGTGTTTCATATTCAATGAAGTTGATATGACGCCAATCATCGAAGAATATTCGACTTTGTTGGGTTTGCACCTCAAGGCTCTTGACAAGATATATGTAAAAAAACATAAGTTAGGATTTCGTAAGAATTTGGCTCATCTCATAGGGATAGACAAAGAGATTATGGATTTTCATACAAACAAAAAACCAGAACAGGTTTGCCTACCTTGAAAGTTTTTTTATGATTTTTTAATACAACATGCTGATGAAGAGCGGGGGTTAGATGTATTTGCCTTAGTCATATACGGAATGGTGATATTTTCAAAGGTTTTAGGTTATATTAAAATAGCAGTGATTGACTTGTTCGAAAGTGTAATCAATGGTTGTAACCCTTCAATGGTAATATTAGCAAAAACTATAAGATCTTTGAGTTAGTCGTTGAAATGACGTTTTATAGGTTGCATATAGTTATTGTACTTATGGATGAAAAGTCACTTTGAGTGGAGAAAATGTATTTTCTCAAAGCTTTATGTCTGCAATCGAGCTTCGATCAAAGAATTTTGTAAAAGTGGGTGGTTAGAACAAAAGTATAAAAAAGAGTAGGTAGCTTTCTTACAAAAATTGACAAGTGCCGAAGTAAGAGGGTTAGTCCCATGGATGAATCGTGAATCTATGCTGTATCATTGTAGAGATAACTCTGTAGTCTCACTTTTGGGTTTATAGAGAGCAACAAGTTATGCGTCATTTCTAGTTATGAGGCAGTTTGGGGTAGAACAGTTTATTCCCATGACGCATAAGCTTCGTCAATTATATTTTTCTTACAGTGAGCCAAAAACAATTCAGAGGATCAATGAGATGATTAAAGCATGAAAAAACTTCTGTGAAGTGAGTCCTGGACCATTCATTGATAAGATCACTTAGGGGTATTTGGTTTGGAGAGCAAGATAAAGACAGAAAATGACATTCACTTATGAAAGCTTTCAACCGTCAACAAGAGAAAAGCTTGAAGAAACACTATCAGAATTGAAGCTTACGACAAAAGAATTCGAGTCTGAAAAAGATAGGCTAAAGCAAGAGATTCAGAAGCTTCAAGAGGTAAAAGATCAGTGGAAAGATAGAGCTAAAAAACAAGAAGTTAAAGTCTGCAAGATCATTAGAGAATGTGACAGCTGTTGAAGATCTAGCGAAGCTGCACCAAGAACATAAATGGTTATGTGTGAAGGTAAAAGCCAAAGAGATAACAATTGCTGAGTTGACAGATGAAAATAAGCGATTAAAACAATAATATGTTGAATTAGAGGAAAAAAGTACCTAAATACAGATAAAAAATAACATATTGAACAGCTACTTAAGCAGGTTGAAACAAAGGTTGAATGAACAAGAAGACTACATTACTGCATTGGTTAGAGAGCATTTTGGTGTGATAAAAAGGAAAACCTAGGAAGGTAGAAGTACATTGAGCACTTAACGTCTCAAATTTACAAAAAGGTATGTGGGTAAAAAAGAGGTAGATGGGGTAAGGCATTGAAACAAGTGGTGGCTCCAGTAGAAGAACATGGGCAACGTCTCCTAAATTTCATCGAGGAAGCCAAAGCTTAGTATGAGCAGATCAAACGATTTTATGGTTATAACTCTAGGATGATAGATTTTATGTAAATAAAAGTTCTTTGGAATAAATGAAATCTTTTGGTTAAACACTGTCTTAAGGCAAATGTTCTTTTCATGCATACATTTTCATTCATTGTATTCTCATTCAATAAATTTAACAAAGTAACCATAAGATAGTTATATAAACTTGCTAATTCTAAGATATGATATTTAAGGTTTAAGGATAGCTCCATCCAGTAAGAATCCTACCCACAAATATAACACAAGAGTCAGAGTCAGACAAATTGAACAAGAAAATTTTCATCGATTTAAGAAATTGGAAAAAATAGAGGAAAAGATTGAGAATGAGTTGAGTAAGATTTTGGATGTTCTTAACAAGTTGAACAAAGAAAAAAGAAAAGAAGAGAACATAAGCCAACAGGGCCCTCAATCATAAAAAGACCCTCTATATCCTTCAGGTTTTGGTCTACAACAAGTCTAGCCCACATAGGATATATCGTTACAGCAGTTTACATATCTTGTATACCCTGAAATGCCATCAGCTTTGAACCCAGAGCATTACCATAGCTATATGAACCCTGTCTTTACTGAAAAGGTAGTAGAATCGATCCAAGTTCTTGATTTAGATGACTTGAAAAAAAAAGAAAAAAAAATCAAAAGTGGTGGAATCTCATGAAGATTCGACGATTAGTATGCTTGAATAAAGGTTATGGGCTGTAAAAGGAATTAGTTTTTATGGTTCTGTCGATGCTGCTGGGTTGTGCTTAGTCCTAGATATGGTCATTTCATCAAAGTTCAAAGTACTAAAATTTAAGCAATATGATAGTACAAAGTGCCTAAAAATTCATGTCACCATGTGTTGTCGGAAGATGGTAGACAATGTCCATAATGAAAACTTATTAATGCATGTTTTTTAAGATAGCCTAATAAGTTTTGCTGCTAGGTGGTATGTACAAGTGGATAGAACTCGCATCCATTCTTAGAGCGATATGACCCATAACTTCATTAGTCAATATCGACATATCATGGATTTGGCTTTTGATCGTTTATCTTTACAGAACATGGAGAAAAAGGTAAATTAGTCTTTTAAAGAATATGCGCAGAGGTGGATGGATGTAGCTTCTCAAGTGCAACCTTTTCTAACTGAAAGAAAAATTATAGTATTGTTCGTTAGCATTTTGAAATCATCTTATTATGAAAGATGATAAGGAATACAACCAAGAATTTTGTCGATATAATGATTTCAAGAGAAATTATTGAGAGTGCTATTAAGAATGGTAAGTTAAAAGAAAGAGAGGCATTAAGTAAAAGAGCCCCAAAGAAAAAAGAGATTGAAACTCAAGCCGTGAGCTTTGATAGACAATAATTCAGGAGTTATCAATCGTACCCACCATAAGGATACCTTCCATATTATCCTGCTGTGAATAACACTTCTCTTTACCTATACCAACAATTTTCACAATCATCTTATCCCCAAATATATCAACCTTTTTTTAGGCCTCAAAATACCACATACAGTCCTAACATTTAACCTACCTTAAGACCTCAGACCCGTTCAGCTAACCCAATGGGTGGATTACGAGAGCAACGAAATACTCACGAAAAGCTTGTATTTTACCTAATTTTCATGACTTATATAGAGTTATATCGTGAGTTTTATAATAGTCATCTGATTACTCCTAGCAAATTAAAGCCACTCAAGTTGTCTTACCCTAAGTAGTATGATCTCACATTTCATTGTGACTATAACTATGGGATTGTTGGTCATTCCATAAAAAAATACACTATCTTGAAACATTAAGTGCAACGGTTGATCAAAGATGGGATGATTAACTTTGATACAGGAGGGGTAGTTACACCAAATGTTAGTGGTAATCCTTTATCTAATCACATGTGAATGCTCTAAGTAAGGAACATGAGCGTCATTTGAAGAGAAAAGTTACAGATATTAAGACACTTTTCAGTCAGTTATTTGATGCTTTGTGAAAAGCTGACATGATACAACTAATAAGTTCATACTGTTGTCGTGGGGATATATAGCAGGCACTAATTATAAATATCATAGTGGGATAATTGGTCATTTTATCGAAGCTTGTGAGTAGTTTCATCAAGAGGTACAAAACCTCTTGGATTCATACTAGATTAAACTCTATGAAGAGAGAAAAGACTCAAAAAATGTTGAAACATCTATGACTGACAAGCTTATAAAATTATTTTCAAAGTCGGTAATAATTCACTATAGGAACAAGCCAAAGTCTGTCATAAACAAACTCATTCTCAGGTCGATAACTTTTAAAATTCTGACTCCATTCTCATATAAAGATGATAAAGATGCACCGTAAAAATATGGCTGTGATATAGTAATTCAGGGGCAAGCGGAGAATGCTTCTAAGATCGATGCCTCCAATATAACTGGTGTAAGAGGCATTACCCGAAGTGAAAGATGCTTCAATCAAAAAATATTGGAAAAAGCTAGAAGAGAGAAAGCCAAGGTGGGAGAAGAACAAAATAACCCCGAAATGGAACCTAAGGAGGATCATCCGAAACCAATGTCAGAAAAGGAAGCTTATGAATTTTTAAAACTGATAAAACATAGTGAATATTTAGTTGTTGAACAATTGAATAAAATGCCAATACGAATCTCATTATTATCATTGCTATTGAACTCAGAACCACATCGAAATGCTCTATTGAAAGTGTTAAACCAGGCATATATGACGCATAATGTGTCTATTGAATATGTGAATCATTTACCCGAAAATTTGGCTATGCCAAATTATATATCATTTAGTGATTATGAGATTCTTCCAGAGGGAAGGGGAAGTGCCAAGGCTCTGTATATCACGATCAAATATAAGAGCCATATCATAGCTAAGCTCTTTAATGATAATGACTCTGCTATTAATGTCATGCCTATGTCAATTTTGGTAAGGCTACTTATCGACTACTCTTATATGAAGGACAATCAAATGGTTGTGTGAGCTTTTGATGGGACCGGAAAAAAAGTTCTGAGAGATCGATATGCCTTTGTAAATTAGATGTGCACTTTTAATGTGAAATTTCAAGTGATGGATATCTCTTCATCTTACAGCTGTTTGCTAAGAAAGTTATAAATTCACATGGTAGGTGTTGTGCCCTCTACCTTACACCAAAATATCAAGTTTAATGTAAAAGGTCAATTGCTAATGGTATTTAGAGAGGAAGACATGCTAGTGACACAATCATTGAATGCCCTATATGTGGAAACTGCTGAGAAAGCGATGGAATGCTTTTATCAATCTTTCGAGTTAGTCAACTCTGTAGGTGAAAGATTTAAAAATCAACCATTTTCAAAGATAGTAATATGTCAAGTCATCAATAAGGGCTAGTATCGAGGAGTACGGCTAGGCAAGAATTTACAGGGGATAAGAAAGCCCCCAACAGTGTTGGACAACAGTGAAAGGCTAGGTCTAAGCTATGAAGCAAAAAAATGGGAGATCAAGAGAAGACCAGCAGATAAAATAGTAAGATTAATGATCATCCCACACTTGTACGAGACTTTTAGACTGAGAGGATTCATGTACCCAAATATAAAAGAAAGTATGGAAGAGGTTTTTACCCAGTTAACCATTCATGCTATTGAAGATAAAACAAGGCTTGAACAAAAAGGATGGGTATGCCATTGTCCACCAGATTATGAGCTGAACAATTAAAGTACCATTGAAATACCTTTTATCCTTGAGATTAATTCAATGTAATTGTACATTCTAATAGCTATTGTTCAAGGTATTAGGGTGATCTTTTTTGTTTGGGCCATTTATCTTTTACTATTTTAATAAAAATTAGGAAGGATGTATTTTCATTCATTTTTTCTTGTGCCTTCATTATTGCCATTTTTCCATTTTCCAAATACATCTTGCCCACATCTCCTATTTTATTCAATTTCAGGTCTTTAAATGAACAAGAAGATAATTATGATAACGATCAAGAGGTTAATTTTGAAAATTCAATTAACACTGATGAACTTGATAATGAAGATAATTCTAAAGAGTATGTTATACCTTCGGACCTAATGAGATTGATTGAATAAAAAAGTAAGTCAATTGAACCTCATTAGAAGATAACTAACTTGGTGAATCTAAGAGATGAGAAGAATAGGAAAAAGGTCAAAATTGGCATTTCACTTTCATCAGGAGATAGGTAACGTTTGAAAAATCTACTTTAAAAATTTATAGATGTGTTTGCTTGGTCCTACCAGAATATGTCAGAGCTGAGTACAGAGATAGTATAGCATAGACTGCCTCTAAAGCTAGAATATAAGCCAGTCTAACAGAAACAGAGGTGAATGAAGCTTGAAATGCCACTAAAGATCAAAAAAAGGTGAAGAAGCAGTTTAATGTAGGTTTTTTACAAGTGATCAAGTATCCAGAGTAGGTAGCCAATATAGTACCAATTTTTAAGAAAGATGAAAAGGTAAGAATGTGTGTAGACTGTAGATATTGATTTTGTTTGGGTCTACTATTTTCATTTCAATTTAATATTAATAATTTTAATAATAATAATACAATATATGTAAAAAAATATAATAAAAAAAGAGACAGAAACCAGAAGGCTGGTACGATGTTGCTGTTGCCTCTGTCCAGCCTTTGACCAGCCTCTTGTCTAGCCACCAGACCAGACAGCCCCCTTCCCACGCTTACGACCACCATCTATCCTTTTATTTGAAGCTTTTTAAAACTCCCAGACTCTTTCCCTTTAGACTCTTTCTCGGACACCCTTTTGGCACCAAACACCTAGCTTTTTCCCACCAGACACACTATCCTCAAACACTCTCTCCTCTTAGACATATCCTCTAACACAAACTCAGATACCCAAAACCCCTTATCACCTATACTCAAACCATTAACCATTACCAGAAAACCACATCAAACACCCTCTCATCCCACGTACCCTACAATGCTACCTCTAACCCAAACAGAAAGCAAACGATCCCTAAACACACAAATAGAGAAACAAAAACAAAGCCACATAATCTTTACCTAAGTGGCGAGGAACCCAGCACCGGCTACCTACAAAAATAAAAAATCATCATCCACTTCAATT